GACGAAGACTCCTCCCTCTCCCAAAGAAGACTAAAATCCTGTACCCAGATTTTCGGGGATTGTCCGCGGCCAAATCCTTGAAAAAACCTGGCTTCAACATATAGCTGAAATTGCACGTTACGAGTTCTCACGTAGTCATAAAGTGTCCACAGCCCACTGAAAGGTTGCGTCCATCCCTTGACCAGAAAAAGTTCTCCATGCCATTTGCCCCGACAAACAGCCAGATCATTCTGCAAGCCCTCAATGGATGCCACCAAGTCAACATGTTTCCCGGGCCCTGTCGCCCCTAACAAAGAGTCTCCAACCTCCATGGCGTCGACCCCTCAGGTCTCAGTTGCTAACGATCAACCCCTGGTAGGTGCCTGAGCCAGACTAATTCTACTGAGTTTAACCACATAGAAAAACGTTACTCAAATGGGCCGCGATCGATGGGGCAAAGTTCCAGCCTACTGATATGTAAGATGCTCTGAAAGCCTTCCGCCAATGCAAGACAAATGCTTTTCCCAATGTCGCTCTCAGGCAGCATGGTAAAGAATCCCGTTGTAGGCATAGGCATAGTGTTGGTCGGCAGCTTGTTTTCAGATAAAGCAGACGGCCCTTTACCTGTTGTGGTCAATGCAGGTGCATCCAAAGCGTTGTGGCATAACTTGCTGGTACCCCCCTCTTCTGCTCGGGCCAAGAATCATCAATCATTTCTCAAGGCCTTGCATGCAGGTTGTCGCTATGCTAGCCGCAAACGGAGGCCCTGACTTGCCTGGTGCTCACTTCGTGCTCCGGAGTCACCCCACCCAAAACTGCATCTCCATCCGAGGTTTCTGGACAGCCTTCAAGGAGTTGCGGCTACAGCCTCGCCTGAGCACACAACTTGTGTTGAAATTGCAAAGACGTCGGATCACGTCGAGGTGGAGGATTTTCTTCACATGATTGGCTTATTGCGCAGGGCTGGGTGTCAACCTTGGCCATGATACGAAACCGCGCCGACAAAAAAAGGAGAGAACATTTGCTAAACCAGAGGCTTGCTCGCTCTGTAGACGACACTGACCAAGACATGCCCGCCGCTGAGTCGCAAGTTGGCTGTGTTGGACCGTCACTTGGTCTCCTGCAGGCCCAGTTTTTGTTTTGGTCATGACGAAGATGCAGGCAGGACGGATGATGGCGATTTGAGGAAGCATTAGTTACAGTTGACAGCCCGTGCATGTCCACCAAGAACGTGCGCAGCGCCACCCGTGAAGGCCGCATTCGAAATGCCATGCTCCACGAGTTCGTAGAGCGGGTTGTGCAGGCTACCGTGAATGAAGCCTGGTACAACACTCAAGACGGAACTGATTGTGGTTTTTGCTCAGCATGGCTCAGCATGGCTCAGCATGGCTCAGCGTGGCTCAGCTTCGCAACGTGGTTGCTCCCTGACTTTTTTTGGCAGGCAGGCGGGTTCCATGCCTTCTGGCATGCGCTGAAAGGGGTGGATCTTGCAAAGTTGAAAGGCGACTTGCACTGCTACTTTGCTGCATTTTGGGCATTGCTTCTGCATTGCAAAGCCAAATCTGAATCCCAGGCCTTGCCGTAATTCGGCGGAAGCTCAGCGAGCTCACAAACAAGGACGACTTGGCAGCAGTGAAAGAATTGGCACTTTTGAGTCACCACCAAAAGGACTGGTGGCTTGCAGTGCATGATGCGGAGGGCCTGGAGGACAAGCAGGTTGAATGGTGAAAGCGGCGCCAAGACTTGCGTCACAGGACTTGTTGCATTCTCATCTGGAAGAAAGGCGCATCAAGCGAGTGATTCGTCGATTCCTTGTTGTGCATGCCTTTCTAGCTGGGGCTGGGGCCTGACTTCACAGGAAGCGCAGAGGTGATGATCTTACGCTAAGGCACTGGGCCATCGACAGGCAAGCATCTCCTCAGAACCAAAGCACTGCCATCAGGCAACGCCAGCGGCTGGTCAAACGGTTCAAGGAGGCGCTAGACCACCTCAGTGTAAGAACACCTGGCTTGTTTTGGTGTTCAGGTCGGAGGTGTCGAAAGCTTCCTGGAAAAGTTTGACAAGGTGAACCTTGCGCAACTCCTTCGGCAACATGAGGCCCGCTTACTCTTGAGTATTTCTGTACAGGCCTGGTGTGCAGAGGCGTGCAGTGGCATAGATCTGACGTCCTCCCACAAGCAAGGGCTGTCAAGAAGCCCCTAGGACATATGAGATCTGGACTGGTTCTGACTCGCGACGCCTTTAACTTCCACCCGATCCGGACAGAACTTGTTCAGATTCAGAGCTAGAGCATCTCCCAGTAGAGACGATCTCTCAAATCTGGTTCGTTGCAGGGCCGCGTGAAAGGTTTTGAATGTTTCTAGCAATTTCGTTCTGCCACTACGACCCCGCGGTGCCAAGTGTCCTGTGACATTGCATGGAGTTTGTTTGTCAGGCACTAGACAAGGCAAGGATCAAGCGCGTCTCAGTCATCGAGGCCCTGGCAGAGATTGGATGGCTAGTGAAGCATGAGGCAGGGTACAGTGAGGCGAGAGCCTCTTGCTGCAATCGATCGCGGAGCTCCTGTGAAGGTGGAGCACCTAGAAGGTCTGTACACAGTTGCAGAAACTCTAGTGCAGTGGCCTCAGATTCTGAAACGGCGGGAAAATTCGACCCGGCCAAAGCTCAATTGAGAAACGAAAGCTGACTGCTTTTCTCTCGTGCCTCTCATGGCTTGACTGCCGTCCGCCGCAGCCTGTTGCTTCATGAAGAAACGAAACTGCTTGTTGATGATGATGATGATGATGATGGCGATGACACTAGCAACACTGATTGCATCAATGATACTACTGGATGAAAGTAAGTCTGGAGACAGTTGGGTATTTTGCGTGCAACGCTCTGAAGTTTGCCCTGCCAAAGAAATTGCCAGTCTTCCTGCTTGCTTTCGCAGTCCTGACTGTGCCTCCAAGTTGCGAATCGAGGCGCTGGGGCGATCGGCACTTCTGTGGTGCAGAGCCGTCTCGACTTTGGCGAGTGGGGGTCTCAACAAAGCATGATATGTCACCGTCCATGACCTCGGTATACCTCGGTTCTTTTTTTGCCCAGCTTTGACCAGCCTGAACTGCTGTAAAGGCCGCGATGTGAACGCGGTGAAAGGAACATGTTTCTCGTTTCGTCCAATGATTTTGCAGGGAGCATGGCTCAGAGCATGCCGGCTCTTCGTCAGCAGTGCAACAGTTAGGACAGGACGCGCAGGCCATCGCAAGCTTTGCCATATATAACGATGCAGATCTGCATTGCCTGTAGCGACGGAAGTGTTGACTTTGCAGTTTTTCCTGATGGCATGCAAAGATAGCCGAGCCGTCTTCCAAGTGATTTCAGCATCGAGTGGGACACTAGCTGAGCCCGCTTTAAAAATGAGGTGCTGGCAGATCAAGTGGCTTGGCTGCTTTCGGCCATTGAGGAGAACGGTACGTTGCCCAGACCTTAGAAGCCGGGTGCAGCGGTAGTACATTGCCAGGCAGTTGTTTGGGTGGTCATTCACACTTGCAAAGCCGCATGTGCTGCAGACTTCAAAGTTCTCTCAAGCCCATGTTTTTCAGAGTTTGCAAGTTTCTTGATATAGTTGAGGCTGAAGGCCACCATCAATCATGGCAGCAAGAACCCAGCGTGGCTGCCTTTGACCTGTCTTGAAGCATTCGAGACTGCTGGCCTTCCATCTTGTGCGAGCTCAAGGAAAGAGCCTGAATTGACACCAGCTCGTCTTGCTCCGCCCTGAGTGGCTGGGCCTTTGCAGATGAAATTTGTACGCGACTTCGTGCGCGGACCATGGCTTAGCGTCTGTGAGCAGCCAGGGCCCACCGACGAGCCGAGCAATTTAATCGCTAACGCGAGATCGCCTCAGCAAGTGTAGTTAAGGCGAGAGGGCACCCCCTGCCTGGCTCGCCGCTTTTCTCGATGCTCCACCCCCCGCCCCCTGCCTCTTCCCCCCCGCTCCTTCCCCCGCCTCCCCCCCTCGCCTCCCAAACTTGCTCTCCTAGTCTCCTAGTGTCCGGACTTGGATCCAAACGCCCGAGGCCTCCGGCCTCGACGCATTGAAAGCACTATGCCTTCTGCAGAGTGTTATGAATAGCTCTCATGTTATGTTTTAAGGCAGGCTGCTTATGAGCATTGTCGCACCTACCATGCATGCGAGTTGTGGGTACAACCCCAATTGCATCTCAGAGACTTGCATGTCTAAAATCTATGCTAGTTGTAGTGTTTGTCGTTTGCGCGTCCAAAGCCAGACACCCAGCATGGACAATTCAAAGAGGCCACTTGCAGAAGCTTTCAACAGCCCAAAGGTCATGCAGCGGGACCTACCACGCGCCTCAAGGGGTTCAATCCAGTTAGCATAAGACGAAAGACGAGATGAAACATATGAAAGTCGAGCATTGCACTTTGACATGACCTCACGTGGGGTTGTGTGCCGACCTCAAGGTGCGACAAGTCCGAGCTTGTTTCCTACTTGCCTGGTACCATTGGAGGTTTGGACGGCTGGAACGCGCAGGACGAAGGTACCACGGGTGACGCCACAGACCGTGACCACTCGGTCTAGCATGGAAGAAGCGTTGACTTGAGGGCGTTCCTTGCCGTCCAGAAAACGCTTCCATCTTTGATGTGTTTCAAAGAACCCCTTGAGGCCTTCACCCGTAGCCTGCGACTGCATAGTTCTTGCGGCTATTCCCACTTGTATTGGACTGTGCGCAGGATTTGGCTGCTATAAATTCATCAGATTCCAGCCTCTGCGCCAGGGCAGTGAAGGAGCCGCCGCCATGATGGATCCGTCTCGAAAATACTGACCCTCGCGTGGCTTGAACTGAGTGGCATGATGTCACAGATCGTCTCAAATGCAAGGATTTACAGCATGTGGTGATCTGACATTTTCTTTTCGACGCCGAGAGATTCCGAGACAAACCGAAGACCAAACATCAGTGATGCTGTGCCACGTGATGCCGCGTAACCCACGAAGTCCCGGGCTCTATCTGCAGTGGAGCATGCGCTCTCCAAGTTACTTTTCTGTTCCCAGCGGAGTGTAGGAGGTGAAGATGAGGCTGATACAAACACATACACACACAGCGTAGCATCACCTGTGAAAAACATCTCCGAGAAGATTCATGGTCTGAGTTTTTGCGTCGTGTTTTGAGGCGCAGTTTCTGCAAGCTTTGCGGCCGATGGGCGGCGTGCAGCCCTCACGCTGCAGAAGCAGTTCTTACTGCTTAGACAATAAAGGCCCTGGAGACCTGGCAGGGGAGATATGGAGATCCTCTAATTAGCTGCCTGCTTCTAGACTTATGACGCAGCACAACTGCACGCATTGATTTCCATCTACCTTGCTGCCAGTGAGGTCACCGGCTTTCTGACTGCTTTTCGGGGCTTGGACTTCGCCACAGCAGCAGTTCAGGCCATGCTGCGCTATTGCTCTTGCCAGTCTGCCGTTGCGATTGTGCCAGCATAGGCCTGAAACGGTAGTCCGTAGGCAATCCGGAAAACTCAAAGACAATCGCGGGTCCAAAGGCGACGAAAATGAGGAGGATCGTGCCCAACAAATGTGTTATATGTGTTGCGAGATGTATGGGGCCGAATTGTCAGAAAGCTCCGCACGGAAACCCACGCAGCAGCACAGCCAGCTCTGACAGCAAACACATGCATGAAGATCATGAATCAATGGTCCAACCGCAATGACAGTGGCGAGGATTGCGAGTATGTGCCGTCTTGACGTGCGTGGGCTGTGTTCAGACAAGCTGTGAGGCCACTGCAAGCGAGAAATACGGAACTAGCTACACGTGCGGAGCACGCATGGCAATCTGTTCCCTTTAGCGTCGATGCAAGCACTCCCTAGTGTCGAAACACTGTGCTGGCAACTGCACAATTCATTCTATGCTTGCATCAGGCAAGAATCTTGCATGACTCCTGCGCCAGAAGCTGAGCAAATGAGAGTCTGTAGCAGCATTTCCAGTGCTCCAGATATGTGTTCAAAGGCCTGTAGAATAGCGCCACCATTTTGGCAGAGGTGCGTAGTTCCGAAACCACGCGCCGTTTATCTTGCATCTACCGGTTGCTGCACTACAATCCTGCCACAACCTCAGTTCCCTTCTGGCCCCGCTTTGCATGTCCTTGCTGAACCCGTCAGGCTCATCTTCGCGGCCTGGAGCACTTCCTGCGGAGGTTTGCAGGGCCAGTCTTCGCCGAGGAGCCATCATGAAAATCATCTGCGTTCAACGAATGCAAGCGCTGCTGCTTGGCGTCTGAGGCGCAAGCTCAGGGCTGCACTTCGCAGGAGTCATCCTGCGTTTGCCTGCTTCTGCCTGCTCTGTGAAGACCTTCGTGGCCAGAGGATCGCCTGCGTGCTGCTGAGCGTTGGCAGCGCGATATCCTCAAATGACAGGCACATAATCGACGTGTGCTATGTCCCTTCGTGGTGCTGCAGGCCTCACATCCTTTCTGGCCATGGCTGCAGGACGCACAAGTGGAGGAATCGCACTCAGAAAGATACGCTTAAGTGGCTGAGCAGCTGTGCTGTGAGAAGTCACCCTTTCTCTCTCTTTCTCTCTCTCTCTCTCTCTCTCTCTCTCTCTCTGTCTGTCTCCGAGTCTCTGTCTCCGTGTCTCTCGCAGAGGGGCCGATCCGGAGCCCGGCTCAGGGCCAGAGCGGGCACTGGAGGCTTGCAAGCCCACGCGTGTCTGTGCTTTCACAAAATTTTTCGGCATGTCAACCCGCAAGTCGTTTGAGCGCCGACGCAGACAAAGTTTGTTGCAGGTGTTGCAGCTAGGGCTGCGGCTGAGTCAAGCTGCAGGGCTCAAAGTGAGCGCTCAGGAGGGGAAGGCTCCCCGCTTTGCCTTGATGCATGCGTGTGGGTGTGCTCATGTTCGTTCTTCCTGAGTTCTTGAGATTTCTTGCAGAAGAAACAAACTACAAACAACTTCTGCCACTGAAAGCCGCTAACCCCAGCTTCAGCTCATCAACCGGCCACTAAATTCGCTATACTATGGGTCCCTATGATAGGGTTCCTATTGCAATGCAGGTTCCTGGATAGAATTCCGACATTTTGGGAACAGTATTTCAGGCCCCACATAGTTCGAGCAGGCGAACTGCAGTTTGTGTTCACTGACAATGCGGCAGCTGTTTCTGCTGCCGGGAGTCAGCCCGCTAGTCGTCCCTGGAATGCTAAAACCTCTGATGATTCGTGGAAATTTTCGCTGACCCAGAAATCGGAGACCAGCGGTGGTACGAAGAAAAGGGCAACAGTCGCCCGTTTGTTCGCAATACTCTGTCATGGGGCTAAGCAGGTGCTTTGTGCCTCTTGGCTAAAGGATGAGGACGGAGGTGCCCCGAAAACATGCCCAGCGGTCACGTGTTGTTTTTTGGTTTGGCATTCGTTTGATCTGATCATGAGGAAGGCCCCTGACGTGGAGAGGATAGCCGAAGGGGGCCAGTAGATATTGGACCTCATGGGTGTCAGGACGACAGAGGCTGTTTGGGGACAGTTGTTCTCGGCGTCGATTCCTTTGGGCTCATTGGGGATGGCTGCAGGTCTAGAGAAGAAGGTCGAGCATTTTTTGCTGATGGTGAAGACCTGGAATCCACCTCCGTGCCTCCACCGAGTTTGTGATGTTGCTGGATGCTTTGACACGGAGTTGCTGGACTATCTGGATGCGCAATTGCCGAACCAGGCTTTAGAATCCAAAGAAAGGCATCCACCTCGAGGTCACAGTATCAGTTCTTTCTTTCTTCAACTTGCAGTGGGTGGCGCAACGTCTCCTGGTAAGGCACCACTTTGATGCCACGATCCAGTTTAACAGGTAGAATGCGTCTACCTGCATCAGCGGGTCGACCCATTGATGCACAGTTTGGCGCTACACGCACAACTCTGTCAGTTTATGTGCCCAGACGCCAAGATGTGCAGTTATCACCTGGTCTAAAAGCCGCTTTTTCCGGAGAAGGTTTTCAATGTGGGTGTTGGACGCCTGGCATGGGGAGGTTACCGCAAGCGGTTGTGATAAAGCACACCCCCAGCTTGGAGGAGTTTATCGGACATATCACGACGCCGGGAAGCAACTTCCCGAGCGGATCCAGCCCTTGCAGGCACAGGGCACATTGCGCAGAGGGCAGGTCTGTCAAACGATACCCACCAAACTTCAAATTTACATCTGTTCGAGCATCGACGTGACCAGAAAGTCAAGTGCATCCTGTGTCACCCGTGCCACCAGAAGGTGTCCCCGTTTCAGATAGAAAAGGTTGTTCCAACGCCCCACGCGGATGGTTCGACCTGGGAGTTCGTCGATTGCGTTGAGCACACGGCAGCGGATACCCTTCGATATCCTTCGATAAGATTTCAACTACAATTGCCAGCAACAACCGCCCTGCGCTGCGGGCCTTCGGTCCTGAGTAGCATTCCTCACAGGTGCCACGGAGGGAAGACACCGGGTCATTTGGGCATGCGTCACCCCATACTTGTACTTGAAGTTTTCCCAAATTGCAGAGACCTTGCCAGGAGGGAGGGTGCGCGCAGTTTGAGCCAAAACTTGTTCGTAGTTTTGGGATTCTTGCCGCCAAATCTAGTTAGTGATGCTTCCTCTGCGTCGGTGTCAAAAGTCGAGTATGCGACAAAGGACTTGCGCGAGCTGCATTACTCACAACACATACTATATGCTGCCTCTGCTGGTGCTGGTGCTGCTGGTGGATGTGCTGGTAGTTGTGCTGGTGGTTGTTCTGATGGTGGTGCTGGTGCTGATGGTGCTGGTGCTGGTGCTGCCGGTGCCGCTGATGCTGGTGCTGGTGCCGGTGCTGCTGGTGCGGGTGCTGGTGCTGCTGCTGGTGCTGCCTTTGCCGGTGCCGGTGCCGGTGCCGGTGCCGGTGCCGGTGCCGGTGCCGGTGCCGGTGCCGGTGCTGGTGCTGGTGCTGGTGCTGGTGCTGGTGCTGGTGCTGGTGCTGATGCTGCTGCTGCTGCTGGTGCTGGTGCTGGTGCTGTGCTCCTGCTGCTGCTCCTGCTGCTGCTGCTGCCGCTGC